CTTTTAGCTTGAAGAAGCTTGGCCAAACATACTATTAATTTGGTATCTCTCATGAGGGATGCCATTAAATGATTCTCAATATAGATAAAACGGGCCCGAGGGAGTATTTTATTGTCGATGTATGACAATAGACTACTCGTTCACAAGCTTTATACTTGAAGAATATGACGGAAAGATGAAAATGGGAGAAAATACAATGAGATTTTTGCAAGCATATCTCACATTAAAACGGGCAGACCAGGCTATTGCTGTTTAATCATGGGCAGCGACAGAGCCACCTTATGTTAAAGGGTGACAAACCTTCGCCAGTAAATTATACTGTTTAAGTAAGTTCAAAAATTTATTTTATATACATAAGTACATCGTGTGTACTTATGTATATTTTTAAACCCCTATTCCCGGCTCTACCACTCTCATGGGGAGAACTAATTGCTATTACAGGATGTAACTTTCTGTGCAAGGATGCCCCAGATTTCCCATGATCTCATCACATATATATAAGGATTGATAATATAAACGAAAAAAATATTTTGAGTAAAGTTATAAGTTTATAAACTAAAAGGGAAGTTTAGATCTGTGAAATCTTACTTCAATTTCACTAGCAAAGTTATTTTTTTATCATTTGATGCGTACACTTGTTCCTTCCATGTCTTTAAATTCCTTAACTAAGCAGTAGCCCTAAACGTTAAAAAGGCTGCAAAAGAAATAAGAACAGAGAACGAAAACTGAAAATTAATGTGGGAATTCTATAGTAAAAGAGATGCGAAAAAAAAGTCTACAATAAATCTCTCTTTAGATTGTGAAGTGTCAAATGAAAACAGCATATGCAAATGTGGGAATTCACTTAAAACAATCAACAGAATAAATTGAAAATCAGATTACACTACCACTTTACACCTTACATGCTGAAGCTAATATCCAGAAAAAATACCTTCTCTTGTACATCCTATACAAATCAATTCATTCTGATTATCTAAGTCTAAATCATTCATAAAATAAACTAATTAATAAGCTATCTATTATTTTGTTCTTCACATACTCCCATATTAAAGTTGGTATGTCACTGTTGTTCTTCTCACGGGTCTTTTCCCAATCCTTCTATCCTTACGATCAATTCAAGAAATGAAGGTTGCTACTGGAAAACGTGCTTACTTCGAAGTTTTCATGCTTCCTCCCAAAGAAGGCTCAGGATTAAGCTGTAACTTGTACATCTCCGGGAGATTTTGTAGGTGCCCAAACTTAATATTTGGTTAGCCAAAGCTAGTGGAAGACCTGAGAGGAAGAGGAATACTAGAGGGTCAGAAGTTGAGTGGGATATTACTCCAAACACTCAATAAATTTAATAAGCAAACAATTCATTGTTGCTTAAATACATACCAATGAACCTCCCGAATAATTTTGATCATATTTTAAAGGATTAATACGATCCACATGCAATGGGTCGAAGCTTGCAACAAGAGACGAGAGAGCTCAAGGCTACCATCGGAAGAAAGGAAGACAAGGAAATTGATGTAGCCTTCCCAGGTGAATCAAACATTCCGTCTTTTATTGTTGTAGCAAAACCACAAAACATGCACACCACGAAAACAACAACTCAATAGATATAATTCATTAAACTCCATGTGTTTGTGTGAATTTTATAAAGGATAAGGGCACATCGATCGATACACCAATGATGAGAACCAAAGCATAAGCAAAGAGAGAGGAACTTACAAACATGGTGACTCATTGATTCAATGTTGAAGCATCCATGAAGAAGATTCATAAGGAATTGGATGTCATCGTCTTCATCATCATTGTTATTGTCATTCTCACCGACGTTCTCTTCACTATCGTAGCCCTCTTCATCTCCGCTGCAGGTTCTAGATAAGCTGAGTTGTGTTGAGAATGAAGATGAGTGGTAAATTATATCTCTATATATAGGAGAGGAATTGGGCTCTATGGTCACAAGTTGTTACAAACATTACTAAAACATAATCTGATCTATTTAGTATAATCTGATTTGCTCCATAAAAGATCTGATTTACTAACTATTTTAATGCGAATGTCAAAGTTCTATTTTTGTGGGATTGTGGTCCTCATCCATATATAATATTTGTAATGTTTTTTAAAAAAAAATGTTGAATTCCCTAATTTTTAGGTGACGACTTTAACCTCCACGCTATTTAGCACGAGATTTTGAGTCTTGCATGCCTACCCTATCACCACCAAGACATCTTGAAAATGAATCGTATTTCGTGAATATGATATCTATCTAGCGTGATGCATGAAATATATGACAAAGGTGGATCTATTGATCAGTCATGTCATATAGGTCCGAAATGGATATCCAATTGCTTCGATTTGAATTATCTAGAGAATAAATTCCTGATATATAAAAAAGATGGACAATTACGTCTAGATCGATCCCTAACGCTAGAACTATGGGAGAAGGTGACCCAACTTAAAAAAATTAAATAAAATCTTGACACATGTCGCGGAAATAAAGAATTTGATATGAAAATTCTTTATTTCATAGGCTCCTTTTGTAACACGGAATGTCAAATTTGCAAAAGTAGTTCTTAGATACTCAGGGAACCATTTGGTGTGTAAAAGGTTCTCCGTCAAGGACGATTGTGTAAATAAGGATTTGTGTAATGACCCGATCGGTCATATTGAGAATTTATATTATGTTTGGTAGTTTGAGGTCATGAGTAGCTTTATGTGGTGCATTATGACTTGTGTTAATGTCGGTTTTGGTTTTCGAGGTGTTCGGGATTGATTTGGAAGAATGATTCTCAATTTGGAAGCTTTAAGTTGAGAGGGTTGACCAAGTTTAACTTTTGTGAATATGACCTCGAATCGGAGTTGTTATAGTTCTGTTTGGCCCGAAAGGTGATTTTTGACTTGGATATATGCCCGAATTCCCACTTAGATATTTCTAGAAGGTTTTGGCACTATTTGGTGAAAGTTGGAACTTTGTAGGTTTGAAGAGTTCATAGGTATGACCGGGAGTTGACTTTGGAGTTATCGGGCTCGGATTGTTATTCTAGAAGTTGGAATATGTTTGTTGTGTCATTTGAAACTTGTGTGCAAAATTTGAGGTGATTCCGAGTTGTTTAGAGATATCCTGTAACACCCCAAAGTTTTTAGACTAATATTTGCAATCTTAGTTGACCATCTTTATAACTAGCTAAGATAGATTTTACTTCGCACTTCCTAAATGTCAATTTGACGATATAGGAAAATTGCTTACTCTACATTGTGGTAATATGTACAAAGAAGTTTCATGGTGTTGATATGTTTAATACTTAATATCATTTTGGTAAATTATTATGAAATACATTAGATATTTATTGTTTTGGATAGCCACCTTTTGTTTATCCTTATCCAAGGTGATATATATCACCCTTGTGAAGATATCCTTAACAACCTCCTCTAATTTGGTCTTCTTTAGCAAAAGAAAACCTCAAAAACTCTTCTTCTCTCATAAAATTCCCCCACCAAGTCCCAACAAGACTTTTCTTAGTTGAGCCACAAGTTACTTCTCACTTTTGAGGCAAGTTTATCAAACCCGTTTTTGAATTGGAACACTGTTAGAATTGTTTGAATTATGTGTAAGACGTGTACATGAGATGATGAGCGTGTACCTGGCTTATATGTGGCAAAATTGACCGGTATAGACTCTTAGGTTACTTTATTCATTTAATTAGAAGTTGTTATTACTTATTACATCTTTCGTTGTTGAATTCATTCTTATATTCTTAGATTGTAGTCATTATTTCATGCTCTAGTTTCCATTGTCGAGTTTACTCTTATGTGGCTTAATTGAAGTTACTGTTACATGGTGTATATTTCATTGTCAAGTTTATTACGCTTTAACCGAAGTTGTTAGTACATATTCTATCTCTTGTTGAGTTACTCTTATAGACAGGTTGAGTTGTGTTGATAATGAGGATGATTGGTAAATTATATCTCTGTATATAGGAGAGGAATCGGGCTCTATGGTCAAAAGTTGTTACAAACTTTACTAAAACATAATGTGATTTACTTAGTATAATCTGATTTACTCCATAAAAGATCTGATTTACTCACTATTTTAATGCAAATGTCAAAGTTCTATTTTTGTGGGATTGTGGTCCTCATCCATATATAATATTTGTAATATTTTTTTTAAAAAAAATATTGAATTCCCGTAAATCGATAGGTGACGACTCGAACCTCCACGCTATTTAGCACGAGATTTTGAGTGTCGTGTGTCTACAATTTCGCCACGAAGGCATCTTGAAAGTGAATCGTATTTCATGAATATGATATCTATCTAGTGTGATGTATGAAATATTTGACAAAGGTGGATCTATTTATCGGTCATGTCATATAGGTTCGAAACGGACATCCAATCTTTGATTGAATTAAGCACATAATACAATGCCTGATATATAAAAAAGATGGACAATTACGTCTAGATCTATCCCTGACGCTAGAATTATGGAGAAGATGACCCAGTTAAAAATCATTAAATAAAATCTGGAGACATGTCACCGAAATAAAGAATTTGATATGAAAATTCATTATTTCACAGGCTCCTTTTGTGTGTAAACACGGAATGTCAACTTTGTAAAAGTAGTTCTTAGATACTCAGGGAACCATTTGGTGTGAAAAAGGTTCTCCGTGAAGGATGATTGTGTGAATAAGGATTTGTATAACGACCCGATCGGTCATTTTGAGAATTTACATTCTATTCGGTAGTTTGAGGTTATGCGTAGCTTTATATGGTGTATTATGACTTGTCGGTATCGTCGGTTTTGGTTCTTGAGAGGTTTGGGAATTATTTGGAAGAATGATTCTCAATTTGGAAGCTTTAAGTTGAAATGGTTGACCAAGTTTAACTTTTGTAAATTTGACCTTGGATCAGAGTTTTTATAGTTCCATTAGGTACGAATGCTGATTTTGGACTTAGATGAATGCCCGGATTTGCACTTAGATATTTCTAGAAGGTTTTGGCACTATTTGGCGAAAGTTGAAAATTTGAAGGTTTGAAAAGTTCATAGGTTTGACCGGGAGTTGGCTTTGGAGTTATCGGGCTTGGATTGTCACTACGGAAGTTGGAATATATTTGTCGTGTCATTTAGAACTTGTGTACAAAATTTGAGGTGATTCTCAGTTGTTTAGAGGTATTAGTTAACACCCTAAATTTTTTACACTAATATTTCCATTCTCAATTGGACATCTTTATAACTATGACAGATTTTACTTGGAACTTCCTAAACTTGAATTTGACGATATAGGAAAATTGCTTAACCATGATTAGCTTTCGATTTCCTGCCCAATGATCAGCTTTCACTGAGAGGAAATTTTCATTCTAGGGAGAGAATTAAATTAAAGTAAAATTCAATGGTAGAGCAATGTCACAAATGGTGGAAAGCAAAATGTACCGCAATCTACAGATGCGAAGAAAACTAAGAGTATTAATGTACTCCAAGGAATTGTGCCGCTAGATTTAGCAAAAGGAACGACGGATCAGACACCAAGCCAATGCAAATTGGTGACTAGGAATGGAAACAACAACATGCAGAGTAGCGCGAAGAGCTCATGGGCGGACAAGGTAGAAGAAGATACGATGGTGGAAGCAGAGGCGGGAAAATCACAATAAACTGTTCATTCATGGAGTAACGTAGTGGGGCCAATTCCTCAAACTGAAGGTTTTGACTTGAGTAGTGAGGAACTGACGTATCAAAATGTAAAAATTACAATTGACGATATCAAGGATAAGGTTGGGTACTGGAAATCAGCAGTGATCTGCTATGTGCTGGGATCTAATCCCCCTCTAGTAGTTATGGATGGTTATTTCAAAAGAATTTGGGGATATAGAGGAATTGACAAAGCTACAGTAGTGAATAAGGGGGTCTTCCATGTGAGATTTCAATCTGAAGAAGCTAGAAACAGAACAGTTGAGGAAGGAGTCCAGATGTTTGATAAAAAGCCAATAGGAATTAAACCTTGGAAGCAGGATATTGATATGAAAAAGGAGACAATTGACAGGATTCCAATATGGATTAGGCTTATAGGGTTGGACATCAAATATTGGGGGAAGAGTGCACTTACTAAGATTGCAGTAATGGTAGGAAAGCCATTAAAGGCAGATAGTGCTACATCACAGAAGGAAAGACTTACATTTGCTAGGATACTTGTTGAGGTATCAATCAATCAACAATATCCATCAACAATCATGTTTGAAAATGAATATGGGAAGATAATAGAACAAAGAGTGATGTATGAATGGAAGCCAGTAAATTGCCCCACATGTAATAAGTTTGGGCATGATCAATCAGACTACAGGAAAAACACAAAGAAGGAGGAAGAAAGGGAAAAACAAAGGCAAATTCAGAATGATCAGCATAATGATGGCAAGGGAGAGCAGGAAAGGCCTAAGGATAACACAGGCAAGGTAGGGAATGAAGAAGGCAGAGCAAAGGAGGTATAGATGATGGTGCAGCAAAAGAAGAAAGGGAAACACAGTACATTAACAAGGGCAAGAGAGATGACTCTAACTCTTGGGAACTCGTATGCAGCACTAGCAAAGAACACTGATGAGACAACTAAAGCAGATGGAAGCATAGCAAGCTCATCTAACCCTGGAGATAAGCAAGCTAGTTTGGGCCATAACATTGGAAAGGGTGGGGGAAACCCCCTACCTAATGGATAATATTGGGTGCTGGAATGTAAGGGGTCTAAATAAGTCAGCCAAGCAGAAAGAAGTAAACCTGTTTCTGCACAATATTAAGGCTGGTTTATTTGGACTCCTGGAGACAAAGATTAAGAGAACAAAGGCTCAACAAGCCTCTCTTAATCTTTGTAATGGGTGGTCTTTCAGCACAAACCTGCATAAACATCCAAGGGGTCGGATTTGGTTGTTATGGAAACCTCAAATATATGAGGTTGACATAATCACAGTTACTGCACAAGTAATTCACTGTCAGGTTAAGCATAGAGGAAGAAATGACAAGATGTATATAACTGTGGTGTATGTGTTTAATGATCAAGCCCTCAGAAGAGAACTATGGGAGGAGATAAGGACAATATGTAGTCAGGTTCAGGGACCTTGGAGTGTAATGGGGGATTTCAACTGTGTCCTCTATAAAGAGGAAAGGATTGGAAGTCCTGTTTCTGTATAAGAGATTTTAAGAAGTGTGTGGAGAATTGTGATTTGTATGACTTAAAATCTACTGGGGCTTATTTCACTTGGAATAACAAGCAAGAAGGGGATGATAAAGTTCTGAGCAAGATTGATAGAGTCCTAGTTAATAGTGATTGGCTAGCACTACTCCCTGCTTCCACAGTTCATTATATGGAAGAAGGGTTGTATGACCATTGCCCTGCTATTATCAGTTGGGAAAAAGGAGATAACAGGAAGAAGAAGCAGTTCAAATATTTTAATATGTGGAGTATGGCTCCAGACTTCTTAAAAAAATAGTGGAAGGCGGGCAAGAAGGGATACCAGGAAGCAAGCAATATCAACTAGTGGGGAAGTTGAATAGATTAAAGAAAGTGCTATGGAAGATCAACAGGGACAGATTTAGTGAAGTTGAAAAGAGAGCAGATCAAGCAAAGATGGAACTTCTAGCATGTCAAGCTAGAATTCAGACAAATCCTATGGATTATGAGTTGCATAAGCAGGAAAAGGAATTAGCACAAGCATATAGCAGCTGGGAAGATGCTAGATATCAGTACTTAAGGCAGAAGAGTAAAATGCAATGGGCAGTGCAAGGTGATCAAAATACAAGATTCTTTCACAATTGTATAAAGGCTAGGAGGAACACTAACAGAATCTTCTCAGTAAGGGATACTTATGGAGAAAATATCACAGAGATGGAGAAGATTGCAAACACATTTACAGAGTTCTATTCATCATTACTAGGCACAAGTAAAGGTGATAGAGATCATGTGTGTAGAAGTCTAGTGAAGAAGGGGGTTGTGGTGTCTGAAGAAGATAGGAAAATGCTAGTGGTTCCTTATTCAGAGAAGGAAGTAAAGCAAGCATTATGGGAAATTGCAGGGGATAAGAGTCCTGGTTCGGATGGATATGGGAGTCAATTCTACAAGGACAGTTGGAGAATAACTGGAAGGGATGTAACTGCAGCAGTTTCGGAATTTTTCAAGACTGGGAAACTGTTACATGTGCTGAATAATACTGTTATTACACTCATTCCAAAAGGAACTCATGCAGATTCAGTAGGTGATGACAGACCAATAGCTTGCTGCAGCACTGTCTACAAGATAATATTAAAGATGCTATGTCAAAGACTAAGGAAGGTACTGCTGGGATAATTTCAGAAAATCAAAGTGCATTTGTAGAAGGGAGATACATTGCACAAAACATCCTAATTTGTCAAGACTTAGTGAGGCTCTATGATAGGAAGAATACTACCAAGAGCTGTCTTATAAAGATTGATCTCAAGAAGGCTTATGACTCGGTGGATGGGAATTTGTGGAAGAAATGTTGTATGCACTGAATTTCCAATCCAATTCATAAGCTGGATCATGAGGTGCATTACAACTACACAATATACAATAGCTATTAATGGTGGTATGTATGGATGCATAGCAGGAAAGAGGGGTGTAAGACAGGTGGATCCAATATCCCCACTGTTGTTTGTAATATGTATGGAGTATTTTTCTCGAATCATGAGAATGGTGGCTGAACAAGATGGATTTTCTTACAAAATGCAAGGGGCTGCAACTAAATCATCTCTGCTTTGCAGATGATATATTACTGTTTTGCAAAGGGGAGCTCCAAGCTATAGTACTGATGTTGAGAGGACTACAAAGCTTCTCAAATGCATCTGTACTTACTACAAATGCTGCAAAATCTGATATCTTCATTGCAAATATGGATGAACAATGCTTGCAAGACTTATGTGAGTTGACAGGATACAAGAGGGGATCCCTACCTTTCAGATATCTTGGGGTACCTATATCATCAAAGAAACTTGTAGCACTGGATTGTGAAATCTTAGTGGATAAGATGACAATGAAGATAAAATGCTGGGGGACAAGAAACTTATCATATGCAGGGAGAGTTTTACTGGTAAATGCAGTACTAATGCACATACACTCTTACTGGGCATCCATCTTTGTTTTGCCTAAGAAAGTGATTAAAAGCATTATAGGAGTATGTATGAGTTTCTTGTCGGATGGGAAAGTCCACACTAATAAGTCATCTCTGGCAGCATGGGACTTGGTATGCAGGACAAAAAGACATGGAGGCTTAGGGGTACATGATACTGCTGCCTGGAATGAAGCAGTTATAGCAAAGTATGTCTGGAACATAGCAGCCAAAACAGATAATATGTGGGTCAGATGGGTAAACCATGTTTACTTAAAAGGGAGAGACTGGTGGCAGTACAAACCTCCTATAGATTGTAGCTGGTAATGGAGGAAAATTTGTACAATAAGAGATAAGTTTGCTGATGGATACACACAGAATCATTGGCTAACTACTAATGGAGTTTATACACTAAATAATGGCTATAGCTGGAAGAAAGGGGCTATGGAAGACCGGCCTTGGCGAGGGTGGGTATGGAATAAGATGAACATGCCTAAACACAACCTAATCTGTTGGTTAGTAGCACATAACAGACTCTTGACGAAAGATAGACTGAAACATATGGGAATTAGCAAAGACAGCTTATGTGAGATATGTGGAGCTGCAGAAGAAACAGTTGCTCATTTGTTCTTCGAATGTCCACTTGCGAGGAGGTGTATGGAAGACACTCTGAGATAGATAAACATAGACATCAGGAATATGGAGCTGCGAGGGTTAGGCAGAAGAATGACCAAACAAGTTAAAGGTAAAATATGCAGGGCAATTGTGTTGGCCATACTAGCAGCTGTAGTTTATACCATATGGAGAGCAAGGAACTTAGCACTCTGGGAACATAAGGTGATACGACCTGGGCAGCTATGCAGTCAGATAAAGCAAGATTGCAAGCATAAAGCACTTGAAGCATTGAGGAGAAGACACACAAGCAGAGAGAAAGATTGGATAGAAAAAATTTATAGAGAAAATGTATAGTTGAGATTTGTATATAAGAGATAGAATGGACATTTAGAGAGAAGTCTAATTGTATTTCTGAGATGTAAATTTTGATAAGTGATAAATAAGATCTTTTTGTTCGACAAAAAAAAAAAAAAGTTGCTTAACCTAGATTGTGTTAATTTGTTCAAAGAAGTTTCATGGTGTTGCTATGTTTAACACTTAATATCATTTTGATAAATTGTTATGAAATACACTAGAAGTGTGTTTGGTATGAAAGAAAATATTTTCTAATTTTCCCATGTTTGGTTGGTTTAAATATTTTGAAAAATATTTGCCTCATGAACTCATTTTCCTCCAATTGGAGGAAAATATTTTCCTTATCAAAATAAGAGAAAACATTTTCCAAAACTCTTTTCAACCTTCTCTACCATATTCCCCATCCCCACCAACGCACACCCACCCACCCCTCCCCCAAACCACCCCTACTGTAACGATACGGCCGGTCGTTTTGAGAATTAAAGCCCCAATCCCCTGTTAACTACTTCCCCTGGGATCGTCCGTTTTGAGTTTCGGAGTGTTTTGGGACACTTAGTCCCTAAACGGAGGCTTAAGTCTTAGAATTTGGACCGTAGTCGGAACAGTGTAAAGACGACTCCGAAATAGAGTTCCGTCGATTCCGTTAGCGCCATTGGATGATTTTGAGCTTAGTGGTCCGGATTGTATTTTGGAGGTCCGTAGCTCAATTAGGCTTAAAATGGCGAAAATTAAATATCACGGCGGAGATCTCATCATAAGTCTACGTGAGATCAGCAATCAGTTAATTAGGGGATTTTTTATCTTTTATAGAGTTGTACCTAATGTAGGACTCCCCTACTATATAAAGGGAGGTCTGATTACTTGTAAAGGACATGGTAACACACATTCCAAAGCAGTATATTATTAATTTCTTTCTTTAAGCTCATGTTCTTCTATATCTTGATATTGATCCAGCTGCATCTAGTTCAAGTGTGATTGACTTTCCAAGACTGTATCTGTTCAAGTTCTGCGGTTTGAATTTACTTTATCATTGTTCATTTCAATTGCAATTCTAGTTTATCGCTTTGTGTCAATTAGATCCACGTATCCTTAAACTCATTTACAAATTCAATTGTTATCCGATTTAGAGGGTAAAGTCAGTGTAGCAGCACTCACAGCCTGATATATGTCAAATATAAACAAATTAAATATTCCTCTCTCTAGCAAGGGTCCAAAATTCAAATCGCTAAAGATCCCACCTTTGTTTTATACTACTAATTTCAAAATTTTTATTTCTTTGTTAAATTTTGTGCCAAGTCAAACATTTCCACATCAATTGTTACCGGAGAGTATTCTCTTAAGAGTTTGAAGAAATAGAGGAGTTGATATTTCTAATACGGTTGGATCCCGTAAAAGGTTTCATCCAAATTGAATCAATGAGTCACCAAATTGTTAGTTCTTTTCTTCATTAATAGCCTTTTGTATTTGATTAGTATTCTATTCTTTTATTCTTTAATTGGTTCTTACACTTATAAGTGTCAATATGCTTAGGTAATGGAGCGTTGCTGCTTGAACGATCTCCCTTCCAGATATAATGGTATCTACAAGTTTGTTTATAAATATTGTAACACATGAAAAAATAAAAATTGATGCCATAAAAAATCTTTTAAAATTCACTCTTCTTAATCTTTCAGATCCATAAAGCATTTTTTTCTTCTGCTAGAGTAAGTCGTCGTTTCAACATTTAATAAAGGGGATAGAATCCCCTTTTTCTAGTTTGCAAAGAGTGGTTCAAATTATAATTTTATCAATTTCAGTGTTCAATTTTTGTAAAATACTTATTGTAAGCCATCTTTATATACTGTAGTTTTGGAAAGAGTATCATGCTATGTCTAAACATCAAACAGCTAGCTTTGAATGTTCGGATTTATGCACAAAATCTTTAAGTTGGAGATTCTATCGTTTAAACATTAAGTATTTAGCTTTAAATGTTCGAGGACGTAGAGTATTTATCTATAATTTGTTTAAATCTTACGTTTCGATTTTAAGAATTATTAAGTTTAATGCAGTTGCTTGAATTCCATTGAATCATTGATCAGCTGCAGCAGCAGCAACAACAAGAGCAGCACTAGCAAGATCAGCAGCAACAGTAAGAGCGCCAACAATAACAGCAACGACAACAGCTACAACATATTAGAGTAGCGAGTGGTAGTGGTAGCAGCATTAGCAGTGTAGTAATTTGAATATAGGGAATTACATGTATGTCTCACAGGAGCGGAGCTACAATACTATGTACTTTCCATAGGACTATTAGTTTTTTATTATTAGACATATATTCACATTAGGAAATTCATGAAATATGTATAATTAGTTAATCGATTACCTAGAGAATGTGCATCTATCTTATATCTTTGTTTTAGAGAACTCTAGTTTGTCTTAAAAGACAAAATAATATACTATATGGTTCATAATTTCATATAACTGACCCTTATGTTTAGTTTGTCCAGTTACAACAATAATCCCGTTAAACAACATCTCTTTATTTGGATTTCCCAGCATGATGAGAATAAATAACGATCCAAAAATGATAGTACTCCACATATGTTCGACGACACCATACCATCTAAAGAGTAATTTACAGGTAGATGTGTGTAACTACACCTTATTTACGTATCTATGTTGGGAATAAAAATAATAATCCCGCCCAGAAATAATATCCACGTTAAATAACAATAACACAAGAGAGTAACAACGACACCAAATCTTTTAACAGGGCAAAATACAATACCCGAGCGGAGCAATATTATCACAATAATATTACAATTTAGTAGTATCAAGAGACTACTACAACTTTGAAAGATATAACATTCTTTATTTTAAACACCTCACAATAATAGTACTCACAAACACTATTTATCTCACAGACAATCTGTGGATTAATCTCTCTATGCTCTATTCGCTCTTTGATTTTGGTGTGAGTGGATGAACGAACAAAGCTCCTATTTATAGGAGTGAATGACCGCCCATAGAACCAATCAGGAGATTGGATTTCATATGCAAGTTGCATATTGCAATTTGCAAATCTAAAACCAAATATGTTACAAAACCAATTTGATAGATCCGCCTAACTTGCCTTTTGTTTAGCCAATAATATTTATTCTTTCTTTATCCTTTTTGTTTCTTTTATTTGGGGACTCCACAAATCTCTCCCTTAATTTTGATTTTTCTTCTTCACTCAAGGACTTGATCTCAATCTCTGAAAATCTTCAAACTTGAAAGGTTTGGTAAAAATATCCGCAACTTGATCATGAGATTTCACATACTTGAGCTCAACTTCCTTCTTGGCAATGCATTCTCTGAAGAAGTGATACCTTGTATCAATATGCTTGCTTCGATCATGATACACTGGATTCTTCGCGAGTGCCTGTGCGGATTTGTTATCAATACAAATCTCTGTAGCTTCAATTTGCGGCAGATTGAGTTCCTTCAACAATCTTCTTAACCAAATAGCATGACAGGTACATATGTTGCTGCTACATATTCGGCTTCACAAGTCGAGAGAGTTACAATTGATTGTTTCTTTGAACTCCAAGAAATAATAGAATCACCCAATAAAAATACAAAACCAGTTGTACTTTTTCTATCATCAATATCTCCCGCATAATCACTATCACAAAATCCCATAAGGTTGAAATCACTAGAAGAAGAATAAAATAACCCAAAGTCAATCGTACCTTTTAGGTAACGAAGAATTCTTCTAGTAACTTTCAAATAAGTGGAGGTAGGAGCTTCCATGAAGCGGCTTACTACTCCAATTGCAAAGAGTATATCTAGCCTGGTACAAGTCAAGTACCTCAAACTTCCCACAAGACTTTTGAAAAATGTGGGATCCACTTTTTCTCCTTCATCAAACTTGGACAATTTTGTCCCACTCTCCATCGGTGTGTTCACGGGGTTGCAATCGAGCATGTTGAACTTCTTCAATATCTCTTCTGTATAGCTTTCTTGAGAGATAAAAATTTCATCCTCCATTTGCTTCACTTCTAGGCCCAGGTAGTATGACATGAGCCCTACGTCTGTCATCTCAAACTCACGGGACATACCTTTCTTAAAAGCTTCAAACAAACTTGAGTTATTGCCCGTGAAAATAAGGTCATCAACATAAAGAAAACAAGTAAAATATCTCCATTAGTAAGAACTTTAAGGTAAAGAGCATATTCATGGAGACAACGAGTAAACCCATTGTCTTGAAAATACTTGTCGATGCAACTATTCCACGCTCGTGGGGCTTGCTTTAATCCATATAAAACTTTCTTCAACCGCAACACTTTATCTTCATGGTTTTTGACCACGAAGCCCAATGGTTGTTCAACATAGACTTCTTCTTCAAGATAGCCATTTAAGAAGCTGACTTGACATCTAGTTGATGGATCTTCCACTTCATTTGCGCCGCCAAAGAGACCAGCAAACGAATCATCTCCATGCGGGCAACAGGTGCATAGACTTGTTCATAGTCAATGCCTTGCCTTTGCTTATAGCCTTTAGCCACAAGTCGTGCCTTGTATTTCTCCACATCTCCATCAGCATTCTTCTTTATTTTGTATACCCATTTCACTCCAATAGCTCGATGACCCTTGGGAAGAGTTGTTAACTCCCAAGTGTTGTTCTTCTCTATTGACTCAATCTCCTCTTCCATGGCTTGTCTCCACTTTTTGTTTCTAACAACTTCATCAAAGTTCATTGGTTCACTGTCAGCAAAAAGACAACATAAAAAATCAAAATTAGTAACTTCTTCTGTGTCCTCATAGAGCTCTTGAATACTCCTTGTCCTTTGCGGCTGTTCATTTGAACTTTATTGAGAAGAGGGAGATGCAACATTGGTTGGAGAAGGAGGTGGAGTTGTATCCTGCACAGGTTCCACGGTCTCTGGTTCTTCTTCAGCACCAAAATATGGAAAAAAATCATATGAAGTTTCTTCCTGAGCTTCCCAATCCCATGCCAATTCTTCATCAAATTCAACATCGCGACTTACCACCACCTTACCGCTGCTTGGGTTGTATAACTTGTAGCCTTTTGAACTCGTATCATAGCCAACAAACACATGCTTAACACTTCGATCGTCAAGCTTCGCTCTCCCTTGCTGTGGCACATGAGCATATGCTATGCTCCCAAAGATTCTCAAATGTTTGACACTTGGCTAACTTCCACTCCATGCTTCTTGAGGGATTTGATCTCTGACATTTCTTGTTGGAGACCTCTTGTTCAAATAAACTGCACAAGAAACAGCTTCGGCCCAAAATTCCTTGGGCATACTTTTAGCTTTCAACATACATCGAGCCATATTAAGAATCGTTTCATTCTTTCTCTCTGCAACTCCATTTTGTTGGGGTGAATAAGGTACCGTTAGAGGGCGACGAATTCCATGAGACTGACAAAAGTCATTAAATTCGTTTGAAGTGAATTCGCCTCCTCTATCGGACCTTAGAGCTTTAATTTCATAGCCACTTTCTTTCTCCACAAGTACTTTGAAATTTTTAAAAGCAGCAAAAGCTTTAGATTCTTGGATCAAGAAATAAACCCAAGTCTTTCTACTAAACTCATCAATGAAAAGCATAAAGTATCTACTTTTACCAGAAGAAGGTGGATTGATTGGTCCACATACATCAGTGTGAACAAGCTGGAGCGGCTTGGTTGATCTTGATATGGCCTCCTTTGGAAAACTCCTCCTTGCATGTTTTCCAAGAAGACAAGCTTCACACGATTGATTTGGATGATTGATTGATGGTATCCCATGTACCATGTTCTTTTATCCCATTGATTTGAGCGCTTCAAAATTCAATTACCCAAATCGCATGTGCCAACACCATGATTCATCTTGCACATTAGCCTTCAAACGCTTTGCATCAATTGTTTTAAGATTCAGAGAAAATAATCTATTCTTTGCCATATGCACTTTAGCAATTAGAATTCCACTTGAATCTCTAAGCCAAAGATGCATATTTTTCATGTGGATGTCATATTCCTTTTCAAGAAGTTGGCCCAAACTCAAAATATTACTTTTTAATTTTGGTACATAATAAACATCTTGAATTAGCTTGTGACTACCATCTTTACAGGAGATCAGAATCGTACCTATCCCTTCGATTTGAATCTTTGAGGTATCTCCAAAGGACACATTACCTCTCACTGTTTCATTGATCTCCACAAACATTTCTTTGCATCCACACATATGATTGCTTGCTCCATTGTCCAAATACCACGAGCTGCAATCATCCCTGTATTCTTCCTTGAGTGCCAGCAATAACGTTGACTCATCTTTTTCTTTCTTGTCATCGACAAGGTTAGCTTTCTCTTCAACATTGCTACGATATTCCCAAGAGTAGTGGCCAAATTTATGACAATTATAACACTCAATTTTTTATGTCCATTATTTTCTTGGTAGTAGCCACGTCCTCTTCCTCCTCTTTGTCCACGAGCACGACCTCTGAATGTTTGGTGGATTTTAACTTCATTATTGAAGTTGTTACCGTTACTTCTTCCTCTGCCATGACCGCCACGGCCTCGTCCTCGACCTCGATATCTTTTTTCACCTCCATAATCCTTAAAGGATGCCTGAGTTTTAAGAAGTTGCTCCAGTGGCACTTCTTGTCTCCTCTTGATCTTTTCTTCATGGGCCTGTAAAGAACCCTCCAATTGCTCCACCATCATAGAGTCTAAATCTTTAGACTCCTCTATAGCACACACCACAAAATCAAATTTAGGTGTTAAAGTGAGAAGGCTCTTTTCTACCACACGGACATCTTCTATGTCCTCCCCGTATCGTCTCAATTGATTTACAACAGCCTTCACTTTTGAAAAATAATCCGAAATGCATTCGGATTCTTTCATTTTTAAAACTTCAAAATCAGCCCTTAGAGTTTGAAGTTTTACCTTCCTCAGCTTGTCAACTCCTTGGAGAGAATTTTTTAAAATCTCCCAAGCTTCCTTTGAGGTGGTAGCATCTGCCACCTTCTCAAACATAGCATCATCCAAACATTGGTGGATGAGCGTGAGGGCTTGTTGATCCTTCTTCCCTGTCTTTGCCAAGACATTTTTTTCATTTTGAGGCAGAGCTTCGTCATTATCGGGTTTTGCATACCCTCTATCTACGATTTCCCACACATCATGGGAGCCTACAATGACTTTCATACGTAGACACTATTTCTCATAATTATCTTTTGTGAGACGGGGATACTGAAAAGACAGCGGACCATTACTCGCCATGGCTCTGATACCACGTTGTTGGGAATAAAAATAATAATACCGCCCAGGAATAATATCCACAGTAAATAACAATAACACAAGAGAATAACAACGACA